GGGAGGACACATCCTGCTGCTCCCAGACGTCCCCAGGGCAGCAGAGCTGGCCCCGCAGCTGCCAGGAGATCAAAGCCTCGCAGGTTGGGACACAAGGTGAGTGAGCAGGAGGCGTCCACCCCACTTCCAGAGCTGCACTAGCTCAGTTGGCTGCCTGTCACGGGTCTCAGTGCCGTCCCTCTGCCCTCACGTGGAGGCACAATCTGCCAAGGCTCCTGCAGAGTCCCTGCAGCAGCAGACCCTCCCCAGGGGCACAGCCCAGGCACCCGTACCACTGTCCCTGGGCTCTTGGAGGGGCCCTCGCCTTTCCACAGCCCAGCTCCCCTAAACCATTCCTCTTCCCACCCCCCGCATCCCCACAGATGGGCTGTACACCCTGAGCACTGAGGATGGCGAGATCTACCAGACCTTCTGTGACATGACCACACGCGGCGGCGGCTGGACCCTGGTGGCCAGCGTGCACGAGAACAACGCCCATGGGAAGTGCACTGTGGGCGACCGCTGGTCCAGCCAGCAGGGGAGCAGCCCCCTCTACCCGGAGGGGGACGGGAACTGGGCCAACAACAACATCTTTGGCTCCGCCGTGGGCTCCACCAGCGACGACTACAAGGTGGGAGCCCTGCTCCGGGGCATCAGTCACCTGCTCCCCACTCTCCTGCTGCCCCCTGCCTCAGGGACACTGGCAATCAGCGTGCCATGCCCTTCTTCCCAGCTGGCCCCTCTACGTCTCCATGGCACGCTTCATCATTGCTCGGCCTCTTCAATCTGTGGGTCACAGTGGTGTTTCCTGCCCCCTCCTGAGGTCAGGCCCCAGTGCGCCAGGTGCTGTACAGACAGGGAGAGAGACAGCCTGGACCTGAGGAGCTCAGGCTCACAAGTCAGTGGATCATTTTTCCCATTTGGCAGCTGAGCAGCTGAGGTGACTTGCACAGGGAGTGTGTAGCCAAGCCAGAGCAGAAGCTGAGCTGCCAGGTCCCAGCCCCATGCCTGAATCACAAAACCAGCCTTCCTTCATGGGCTCAGGCCCCCTAGTCCTCCCACATCCCCACGGCCTCTCCCACTCCTGGCTCCCCTCATCCCAGCCTCTCGCGATCTGTGCCATTCCCTCGCATCACAGACAATCTCTGAATCCCCGAGCAGTGGGGCTGGAAGGACCTCTGGTCACATCTAGTCCAACCCCTTGCCTGCAGCAGGATCAGCCCTGTCCAAAGCATCCCATTGTCTAACCCAGGAGTGTCCAAGATCTGGCTCATGGAGTCACAACATCCAGCTTCCTGTGCTGGCCCTTATCTGCATTTGGCATATGTGGGACCAGCCCCATGTATGGGGCCCTGGACGTGCACTGCACGTTGTATGGAGCCAGTGCAGGGCCCCCCACGTCAGATCCAGTACCTGTGGTGCCCACACTGCCACACACGGCACCTGCTGCAGCCAGTCCAGGGCAGGTGCCCTGTGCAGCATCAGTCCTGGAGCAGCACTATGGGCAGTGCAGGCCTGGACCATCCAGAGCGGACGCTGAATCTGGGATGCAGGACGGGGAGCTGTGGGCACGTACTGCCAGCTCCAGTCACTCCAGGACACAGAGCAGGTGAAGTGGGCTCCATATGTGGCACAGTCCCAGACTGGGCAGAGCAGACACCGTGGGCACTAGATCGGGCATTCAGGGCTGGGTGAGAGCTGTCAGTGGGCTCAATCTGAGCCATGGGGCTGGCTCTAAGCCATTTATCTGGTTAATGGCCTTGGTCCTGCAGAGCCAGAGGAGTTTGACACACATGGTCTAACCTCTTAGTAAAAGTGCACGGTCAACCCCAACACAGAACAAGACATTGCATCCAAATCTGCCACAGGTAGGACAGGGGGACCAATGTCCTGATGCTGCGAGACTTGTTAAATAGCCCTTCTCAGCCCCATCAGCCTCCGTGCTCAGCTCCCTGCTGAAGCCCTGCTGCTTATGGGTTTCAAGTGAACTCACCATGCCCCACTTCTGGTGAAAGTCTGGGGCCAGGAAGCACCAAACAGCATTAACTCCAAGCTGGCTACTCAGCCCTGCTGAGATGTTTCCTTCCAACTGTCGCAACAAGGGGTGCTGAGCCCATCGTACCCCCTCGAGTCTGCTGAAACATCCCCCAGCTGGGAGCCCCGCAGCAAGGCTGTGGCAGGATTGTCCCCGCAGCTGCACTTGAGCCGTCAGGGTCCAGCAGGCCTGGAAGGGAAGTCTCCGAAGCAGCTGATTCTGGGGAGGTTCTAGTTCCAGAGAGGCCCGCAGGCTCAGGCAGGCAGGTGTGCTGAGCCTCGTCCTCCCCACGACTGGCTGCTGGCGCGGTGTAGACAAGCTCTTCTGTCCCCTTTGCTCCCCAGTGCACAAGGGGGGTGACAGTTTTTGCCTTGCAGGGATTTTATGAGGATAATTAATAGGTTTGGGGCCCTTTGAATCCCATGGTATTGGGCCATGCTCATACCCCAGAGACACGGCCGAAAAATGCAGCTCAGCCCTTGCTTTCCAGAACCCCGGCTATTACGATCTTCAAGCTGGAGACCTGTCTGTGTGGCACGTCCCCAACAGGGCGCCGCTGAGAAAGTGGAGGGACTTGGCCATCCTGAGGTACCACACTGAGACCGGCTTCCTCTCATCCGAAGGTGGGAACCTGCTCCGGCTCTACGAGGTACCGGCAGCCTTGGGCTGGGGGCTATGGAGGCAGCGTGTGCCAGAGGGGCTGGGTGACTAACAGCGTCCGTGGGGGTGGGGGGCCTGGGGTAGCGAGACAACCCACGGCTTGCATGCGGTGCTTCTTGGGGACGCAGGGGATTGAAAAAGGGACCAGAAGCCTTTGGCATCAACACAGCCTGTTTGAATGCTATGGTGATGGCTCACCCTTGGGGCACCATGGAGTCCTGGTTTTGGGTTCAGGCATCTTCGCAGGGATGTTTCTGCACACAGGGGGCAAAGATGCCAGGTACTTGATGATCTTCCTGATTTATACTGTGCCTCATGGGAATGTTTAGGAGCCCTGCCACGGGCCTCACCCTGGCTGTGCTCAGTGCTGTGCAGGCACTGAGCAGAAATGTGGCCACGGCCCCCACGTGTCCATGCCAAAGGACACCTGGACTTGTCAGCGTCACTTGCTCTTGTTTGTAATGCCCCTGCTGTGCCCAGAAGTTTGTTGTAGGAGATGGGACACTGGTAGAAATTGCCTCGTGAATGTGCGCTGAGGTCACCTTCCCCACGACAGCTATCGCGCAGGTTTGCTGGCCTGCCACGATGCTGGATTGCTGTCACGTGTTTGTCTTCCAGAAATACCCGGTGAAATATGGTGCTGGCAGCTGCAAGGTCAACAATGGCCCGGCCGTGCCCATCATTTATGACTTTGGCAGTGCCGAAAAAACTGCTGCCTACTACTCGCCAGACAGCCGAGCTGAGCTGCGGTTTGTAGCCTGGGCATGTCCTGCTTCCCCTGCTAGTGCGAATGACCCATATTTGGGGTGAAAGGAGAGCTCCAACTCAAGAAAAACCAAACCAAAAATCCCCAGGGGACAGCGGGGCACAGGAGTGTGTGCATCCACGTGTGGAGGGTTGTGTGTGCATACCTGCATGCATGTGTGTGTTCCCCACTTACTATATTGTACTAGCTGGTCACTGAATGCAAAGTAGCCCCAGAAACTGAAAGGCGCAGTGCAGCAGAACTAAGCATCGAAGTGTGCCACAGTGGTGAGCACCACAACCACGATTGAAATCCTATCTAAAGCAGTGGTCCTTGACCACAGTGCCACAGCGCCCCGGGATGCCACAAGATCCTTGTAAAGATACTGCAACACCCAGCTCCTGTGCAAGGAGTGCTGCATGCTCTTCCTCCTACCTGCCCCACAGTCCTGCAGACAAAGGGCACCTACAGCTGCACGCCGACAGCCCCTGCATCGGCCACTCTGAGCAGGGTGCTCTGCCACGGTTGGCAGACAAACATGTGGAGCTAGAGATGCATTCTTCAGCCCTGCCTGCCTAGCCCCCTGCTTCTTACACTCTCACAGGGCTGGTTGGCGGGGCAGGGATGCAGGGGCAGGAGGCGTTGGTCCTCAGCATGGGAGTCCCTGGAGGAGCAGCCATGGCAGTGGCAGGGCTTCGTTTGCCCCCTCAGATACCGACTGGAGCGGGGAGGTTGTTTCCTTCGCCTTCCCCCTTTCTGTGCCGTATGCGTTCTGTTGCCCACCCCCGTCCCTCCAACCCACTCAGTGCCCCCCACATGCCGCATGTCCATCCTGGCACCTCATCCCTACCAGCTGGTGTACCCAGACTTTGTCCGTTTGGGCCCCAGGCCTGGAGTTCAGGAAAGGAGAACGAAGGACATAAATCGGCCCCTCAGTCACAGTGCCCAGTGGTGAGCTAGACCCACATGTAGGGAATCCATAGGGAAAACATGCAGAGGGAGCATTGAGCCTACAAAGGTTGAGAGCCACTGGCCTAGACACTTTTTGCAGAGGGCTTACAGCTCTGTTTCATCAACCCCACTCCTTCCCAGTTCAGTGGGGTATGTGCCCCTCTCTCCTGCCTCCATTTATCTATTGCCTCAATCCCCCCGACTTCCCTTTTTCCTTCATCAGCTGAATTCACCGCTGGCTTCGTCCAGTTCCGTGTTTTTAATAATGAGAAGGCGCCCATGGCCCTGTGTTCGGGGCTGAAAGTCACTGGCTGTAACACCGAGCACGTGAGTACCCCCCGATCAGGCCCAAGGACCTGCTTTGGGCTGTTCGCTGACACTAGTTGGGTCCTTTTGTGCCTGCTGTGCTAGTGGTAACATTCACCCCAGGCCAGGCCAAGCGTGTGGGTGTCACCCCTGCCCCAGAAGGTCCTAATGCGACATGAACAATAGGGCTGTGCAAAATGGCACTGTTCTGTTTCGACTTGAGTTTTGACAGAACAGCGTTTCGTTTCAAATTTCATTTCGATTCGAGACCGCTGTTCCGTTTCGCTTCGTGACAGTTTCAACGTTTTGCCCATTCACTATAATGGGGAAGCTCAAAACAGCCTCTCTCATCTAACAGGCATATGGGGGCATGCAACCGTGGAAGGACTGTGGGGGTTGAGACAGGTCTCCCAGGGCTGTGGGTCCATGATCTGCCTGCCAGATGAGAGAGGGAAGGTGGGTGCTGCCTCCTGGGACCGGGGAGCTGGGGAAGGGAACTGAGCACAATCGCTCAGTTCCCCTCCCCAGTGCTACCAGCGGGCTGGGAAAAGGAACTCAGGCCAGCTGAGCTGAGCCCCCACCCCCATGGTAGGGCTGGGGAGGGGAACTGAGTGTTCATGCTCAGTTCCCTTCCCCAGCCCAAACGCAGCGCTGGGGAGGGAACCGAGGGCTCAATTCCCTTCCCCTGTGCTGTGATCGGCTTCCCGCAGCCCACGGCGGGAGGTGGGGAGAGCCAGGGCTGCGCCCCAGGCTGAGCCACATGGGGCTGCGGAGCCACTGGGAGCACAGTCCTGGTTCTCCCCTGTCTGATGTCTGCTGGCTGCTTCGAAATTTGAAACTTTCGAAACTTTTCGACTAGCCTCGTTCAGTTTTGAGGCTGTTTCGAAGCCCTTTCTTTCGATTTGATTTCGCTGTTTTGAGCTCAAAATGAGTCAAATCGAAACAGCCAGCGAAATTTCGCACAGCCCTAATGAACAATGGCAGTTCACTGCAGGCACGGGGCCTAGCTGAAGTTCCAGCGAGCATGGGGAGTCCCGGAGCCCTTCATACAGGGGCTCAGCATCATTGTCCTCAGTTCATTGATGGGGAAACAGGCAGCGGGGGACGAGATAACGCAACAGCGGTCACCCAGCCCAGAGCTGCACTCCCTAAGCCAGGGGTGGCTGAGCTGCTGCACACATGACACAACTGGCATGCAGAGCTGCTGCATGTGGCACACAGCAGATTGGGGAAGGGGCAGTTCATACAGCTGCAGATAAGGCAGAAAGCAGAACGCAGAGCAGGAGATGAGGCAGGGAGCAGCAGAGCAAGGAGCAGAAAGCAGAGTAGGAGATCAGACAAGGGGACACAGCATGGAGCAGAAAGCAGAGCAGGAGAAAACCCCATGTCTAGTTCAGCCTTCTGCAGAGCACAGGCCAGGGCCGCCCCCAGTGCTACCTGCCTCACACCAGGCCTGTGGACGCTTCGCGCCCAGCAGCTGGAGCCCTGGAGGGGCCCAGTGGGCATTGGCAACATGTCCACCACGTTGGGAGCCTGCTTTTCCCTCAGTTGTCTCATTAGTCTAGTGAGGAGAGCCCAGCCCTGGGCAGGGCACGTACAGGGGACCCCGGACCATGTGTGGCTCAAGAGAGGGGTCTTTCTGACAGCACCCCCTGCCCCTCCATCACTTCTTCTCCCCCCTCGGTGGGATTTGAAACGGAACAACTCCGAGGTGTGCCCACATTCGCTGGTGGGGGCTGAGCCATGAGCGCTGTGGGGCAGGGGTGTCCTGCTCTGTGTCTGCATAGCACGGGATCCAGCTCTGGGACCGGGGCTGCAGCAGGAGCAGGCGGTCAGAGGCTCTGGCCAGACCTGCAGCATACGCTCCTGTCTGCCCAGCTGTGCCAGGCCAGGGTCAGAGGTCTGACCAATCCCTGACAGAGGCCCTTACTGCAGGTGCAGACATGTAGGGATGACTGCACTTCTCCTTACTATTGTCCCAGGTCCTCCTGGCTGGGGCAGGTGGCCTGATGCCTTCCCAGTCACCAGTGTGACCATGCATGGTACGTGCTTGTGGGCATACAGGTGCCAAAAGCCTGCCACAAGATTACGCTGTCCTGCTGCCGGACAGTACAGCCATGATTCCCCCAGGGGATGGAGCAGGGTCTCTTGCACCTTGGTCTGAGGCAGCTGGCACAGCCCGGAGTCAGGACAGCAGGTAGGATGGGCCCCTGCTCTGCTCCGTTCTGCTCCTGTGTGGCACTGCCTCCGTTCTCTGCTCCTCCCAGCACTGCATAGGCGGCGGAGGGTTCTTCCCAGAAGGCAACCCAAGGCAGTGTGGCGACTTCCCCGCCTTCGACTGGAATGGCTATGGAACCCATCAGAGCTGGAGCACGTCCCGGGAGATGATCGGGTCTTCTGTGCTGCTGTTCTACCGCTAAGTCCAGGCAGGCTGGCATTCCCGGTGAAACACCACCACTGCCAGCGCGAGCTGCTCACCAGAAAGAAAATCTGCCCTTTTCTCAGCTCTTGGGACTGCAAATCAAGAGCAAATAAAGAGCTGACTGCCACTCTGCAATCAAAACAGGTTTGGGATTTCCATGTCATCACTTCCTTTTAGAGTTGTAGAGAATGGGTAGAGGTTTTTGGCACAGTGAGCGTGAGGCATCACTGTTGGCATCATTCTCAGGGGTCACCATCACACACAGTATCTTGCATCTGCTGCTCTCAGCGGGTGCACAGAGGGTCCGCACTGCTGTTCATGATGCAAAGAGGACAGAGGGTTGATGCGTCTTGCTCCAGCTCACTCTGGGATCCACTCCCATGGCCACTGGTGACACCCAGCTCCTCATAACCTTAGGCCTAGCGCTCCAGCACGAGGCTCTGCTACTTCCCACTGCTAGAAGCAAAAAGACCAGACTAGGAACTGTGAAAGCTGGGAGCAAAGGGGGTGCCAAAGCAACACCCTCCTCACATGAACACAACAAGGACTGTGCTGTACAAGATAACCACAGACCCTGTGCTCACCAGCACTAAGCTGTTATCACACGCATTGAACATGTCTGAGTAATATGGCACAACACCCCCTCGCCTCTTGCCTTGGACACCTCTCCAGACCAAGGCACTCTCGCAGCCTGACCCCAGCTGCCATTTTCTAAAGCCATCTCTAGGTGACACCATCTAAATCCTGTAGCATGCACCATACATCATTTACCAAAAACAAAGTTGTTCCAAGCCAAAGCCTTTCACAACTGCTGAGCTGAGCACATAGGAGCATTAATGCCCGGGCATCCTGGGCACTGGCCAAGGCCCCTTCAGGAAATGGGGACCCCAGAGCAATGCATACGTGCATATGCAGAGCTGGCAGCCGCAGGCATGCAGGTGACTGAGATCCTGGCACAGAGCAGAGACCAGGGAGCAGCTGCACAGCCCCGCAGTCTGTGGAGGGGAAAATGGGGCATGGGAGGGGGCAAATCGAAGCCCACACGGTGAGGGAGGGGGCTGGGGTTGGGGCTGTGGCTGTGGCAGGCCAGTTGGGGTGCTCCTGCACTGAGCCACCCACCTCACTGTGCACAATCACCTTTCAGACTTCGAGTGCCTCCCTTGGGGCATGTCACGTCTGTCCAACCCCCTTCCTGTAGCACACCCGCTAGCCTGGGGGTAATGCCCCCATGACCCAGGGTCTGGAGTGATCCTGGCTCTGTGCCCCCTCAGAAACACAGGCCTAGTAGCCCTTGAGAGTACTCAACCCATTTCAAGAACCTGCGGTGCTTCCCCCCATCAGAAGCACAAATAGCGGTCTCCCTTGGTCAATCGAACCAAGGGGACCCCAAGGTACAATCTAGACCCACTCCCAATAGGTCTCCCATGCTAGGTACAAAGGAGAACTTTATTGGTTACAAGGAGAAGGGTTGGAATAGGGTACAGCGTAGAGCAATATCAGAGAAATCCCATAGAGCAAACAGGGTGGCTGGATAGCCTTCAATCGCGCATCTGAGTTACTGCAAGCTACATATCTAGTTAGATCTCAGGTCGCTTACCCACAAGTATCATCCAGAGGCAGGTGGAGATTCCCACTGGAGGCAGGCAGTTCATTGATCATGCGTCTCAAGAGAGAGATCAAGTTTCACATGGCCCAGCTCTTCTCTCTCTGAGTTTTCATCATGGCTACAGCACCTCCTCCTGGGCCGTCCTTAACTTATATAGATCTTATGACCTCATTTACCTGGTCTAATGGAGGCCAGCACCTGTTGGCTGCCAGCCAACCAATTTGAAATGCATCACTGGTTGCCAGGTAGAC